GGTCCCAGCTGTGGCTGAGTTTATTATTGTTTCCTTAAATGTTTTTCTATTTTTTTATCACTTGATGGCCTATGATATAAAAAATGTTACAATAACTTATTTAAATTATTTATATATTTTACGGATTACGAAATGAAGCGTTAATATTGCGGGGATCAGCACCGCCCCGCCGTGACGGATTGGAACGGGAGAAAATGAAAAATGATTATGAAAAAAAATACAAAGTACAGTAGGACAAATAGTGACTGACGTGTACAGTACAGTATTTCACTGCTGTTTGACGGAGCCGCTGCATCCTGATTGCTCTGTGGGTTTTTTTCTTCTAAAGCCTGCGGTGCACGTGTGTTTTTTGGAGAGAAGAACATAGTTATCGGTAGATGTTGTCGCTCTTTTTTCTTCTGGGCCAAAAGATCCTTATAAACCGACATGCCACCATTAATATGTTTGACAATAAAGTTTAACAATGCATGATGCAAATCCGTGAAGCAGCGAGACCGTGAAAAGTGAACCGCGTTATAGCGAGGGTTCACTGTATCCCACATTAGTACTAGGGCGGGAAATGGGGTTTTGTTTCATTTGGTTTAGTTAGGCTGGTGTTTTTGCCCCGCGTGTTTCTTTTGTGAACTGATCAGCTACTAATTTTCTCTTTGTTTCAATAAGGCAGGTCAGTTTGAGTTAGTTCTGTTACTGGTTATTTTAAGTAGTTTTGGTTTCTTTTACCTCATATTTCGATCCTTTTTATACTTGTGACATTTAATCTTTTTTGGGTTAAATAAGTGAATCATGTTATTTGAAAATACACCTGTGCCTGACTCCTTACTGCTCGGTCCATCACATTCATGTTTATTTATATTACAATTTTAGGACATATGTTTCAGTTTTATTTTATATTGATTATACAGATCAGTGTTTTGATAATCTCCAGTATGCACGATGGGAAAAATTCTTGATGTGACATTTCATGTTTATTTACTCAGAAATTTGAGGTCACAAATCATATGTTTACAGGAGAATAAAAATAGCCATTAAATAACATTAACAATCATTTGTCTATTTTTCCCCATCTGAACATTAACACCTTAAAATCACCATTGCATCAAATTGGATCGAATTGCAACAGCAATAATCGGAATCCAATCACATCGAGAGGCTCCTAACAATCTCCAGCCCTAGTTGGGATGCAGGTCAATGATGCATTTAAACATATTTCACAGGTTTAAAGACCAGATTTAAAACATGCGACTCCTTACAAATGTCTGATTTCCATAAACCTTGGTCTTAGACAGCAGGCTGTGATCCCGGGCAGTTGCCCGCTGAGCCGGTCCCAATTTCAGCATGAGGGCCGGACCTCCTAAAATCATACCGGCCCAAACACTTACTTTCCTGTTGAAGCTCCTACCTGTGACAGTAAATAACTGAAGGATCTCAAGAAGTAATACAACATTAACTCCCTAAATGATGGATGCAGTATATAGAGCCCTTTCTTGTCATGCACATCCTTGTGACGGTTGGCATATGGTGTCATTTTCTATTTCTTCAAACTGTAAAATCCTTCCAACAAACTAAATTATAATTAAACTAAAATGCTGTCTTTAAACCAAACTACGATATTCCTCTTATATTTAGCGAATTTATGTTCGAATATTTTTCAAAAATATGTTGTGGTGCATGATGGGGTTTTCCATCTAAAGGCAAACGTTTCCCATCTTACCTGCATTGTTGCCAGGTTGGAATGTTTTCCAATCTGGCAGTTTAAGATGACAGTCAGTGGGTGAAAAATGGTTTTAGATTTATGGCCAAAGAGATCAATAGACTTTGGTTTAAATTGGGCGAGATTTTGTATTTTCAGGCGGTTTATGAAAATTTTTTGGGCTGGAAAACGTGAGTCGTGACATCTGGCAACGCTGCTGATGAGGTGAGTGTGGACGTTACGCAGCAGCAGTCACTGTGGCGTCCGTGTTAATAAACAAAGCCAGTAACACCACATTATAGAAGCCTTGGTGATGGTTGTCGTGTGATTCTTCAAGATAGATTGGTTAATCCAAAATGTGTATTCGTATTGTGTTTCACATTTGAGACGCACGCGTTTGACTGTACTTCTATTTATTTATTTTTTTCCAGGGGCGGGGGGGGTCCATAAGTGGGCCAGTGTAGATGGAAAAATGCCAGGGCCGAAAATCGTTTCCAGCCCGAGACTCCTAGACAGTGACCATAAACCCCCGCCTTAATGGCAGATTAGACTTGTGCAAGACCAGACCAGGTCTGGTCGAGAACCAGTGTTGCTGCCGTCGGTCTGGAATTTCTAAGGATAGAAAGCAGTTTCCCGCCAAAGTGCAAGGCAGAGCCTATTCGAGATCTCGCCAGAACATCG